GGTGGGGGTGTCCGGGCCGCCTCTCCGGCGGCCGGAGCCAGGCGCTAGAAAGGCCGTTCCGGCAGCGGCGCCGCCTCGGTTTTATAAATAGTATTTGCGGTCCGTGGGTGTTAGGGAAAGGGTCCTGCTTTGTCGTGAGTGAGAAGAGATTTAATGTCTGGGTTACCTATGAAAGAGTATATTCCCCCAATGTTTCTAGGCTGTAGGGATTTACAAGAGCAGCACTACAACATAAATGAGATTTGTTATAATACGTGAAAAGTTGCTGACAGTTTCTTGTAGCCGAACAATTTAAGTGGTTTTATACGAGTGTTCATTTGTTGTGCTGGAAAGGCTGCTTTCCTTGTTCTTCGACAGCATAAAGAAGCTAGAATAAAGTTGGTTAGGAAGCTCTTGCCACCATAGCTCAGGAATTCTGGTGAAGTGATGGCTGCAGTCAATAGCCTTAAAATGTTAGGCTTCTATATGTAGCTTTTAGTTCTTTGTGAAATTCCTCAATGGGAGTATAATCGTTTGTGGTCTGGGATTTGCAGTCCTTGAAAGATCATGGTATGTATTTGATGTAGAAATAACTTAAAAAGTAGAAGTAACTAGAAAACGAGGCTAGAAATTACTTAAGAAAAAACACTTGTTATGTAGCAGTTAGTGCATCTGAAATATTTACGGAGTATTGCACCTCTGTTTGAAAAGGTTTAGACATAAAATCTTAGATGGTTCAAAAGCATTATTGTTAGAAAAGGTAATTTTGTTAGTTGTATTTACTGTAAGGTGAAATTAAGCAAGATACTAATGAAATAAAGTTTGGGATCCATTGTAGAGTTATTGTGTCACTACAACTGAAAGTGTGTATATTTAACCTTTTTTTTTATTTATCCCCCATACAGTTAGCAAATAAATACTGGGCTCCACATGTGAAGAAAAAATTGTCTTTTGATTCAAAGGTAAGTACTGGAATTGTGTTGGGCTGTAAAAGAATGAGGACCAACCCTTTTCTGATGTGCCAGCCTACGATGGTGCTTATTTTGTATAAGAGTACAGGAGACTGCGTGGAAGGTCTACAGTTGCTTAACACACTGTAATTATAAATTGTTTGTTATGTATGTTTGTAGTTATGAACGTGTGATATAGCAGTGCAGTTCTGTATGCTATTTGTTTAGTTTATTTTGGCCAATAACTTAAGGGACCAAAAGATTTTTGAGCATCTCCTTTGAGGTTAAAAGATGTCTGGAAGGACTCTTAGAAATCGAAGAAACGTGAAAGATGCAGGTATTACTGAACTGTGTAATTCTTTCTAAAAGCTTCTGCAGAGAGTTTTGAGCAGACAACTTTAGTGCAGTTCTGGTGGGTATGTGTGTTTCGAATGTTTAAAGTTTGGCCTGATGTGTTTAGTTTTGTGTTAGTTTTCTGTATGGGCTTCTTAAATGTTAGGTTTCTTTCACTTGTGGGTATTTGGCCTCAGTTTGCTGACTGTCTTTGTAGTATTCGTGATAGCATTTTTCTGTGATTGTTAGAACTAGGATGTATGTAAGCAGCTGAATTGCATCTCTGTGTCATGTGATGTCAAAGTGTGCCTATTGCAACAGATAGCACAGATTCTGTCATTTCTGTTGGAAACACTAGGTAAAAGTGTCAGGATTTCGTTAAGTGTCAGTTAAAAGAAACAGTGACAACAGATGACTTAAGTTGATGCACACTTGACTCTTGAAGACTGTTCTTTAAATTCAACAGTAAGCCAAAAAATAACAATAAAAAGGGTTGCATATCTGTTTGACTTTAATATAAAAATCTCAGTGCAATGTAGGTTATTCCTTCAGAGTAATTTGAATGAAGGCCCTATCAATTCTTTTAATCATTGTGTGCTTTCCGCTAAGTTGAGTCACTTTCTCTGTGAGAATGTATGTCTATGAAGCTTTTGGACTTCCGGAATCGAGAAATAATTGTTACTGACATTTTTGATCAAGTAGCAGTAAGCAGAGAGTAATTAATTCAGAGTACCTTTTGAGTGCATAAGGTATCTTAAGGCATTTTTAATCACTTTATATAAAATTCTTAACCTTTTTTAAAAAATATTCCTTCCTGTAGGTTATTGAAGATGTATATACAAAAGAAATTGTCAGGTCAAAGTAAGTACATGAATCACTTTCACTTACAGACATGCGTTCTAACATTATCTGTATTGAAGTGGTTTCTAATGTTTCATAGAATATTTTAAAATGCATTAATGTGTTGAAAGCAGATCAAAATGACTTGAATGCATTTGAGTCATTTAATCATTACGGTATTTCAAAGTCTGAATGTGGCAAAAAGAAAGTTCATGAGCTCGTAATACTTATATGTGATGGTTGGACATAATATTGATTCGTTCCTTGATCTGGTAGTCTGTTGTGTTTTATGTTGTTTTTGTTGTGATGGTTATAGAAAGCTGGTCCCTTTGTCACCAAGGTATATAAAGAAAAAGAACCAAGAGTATGCTGCCTCTAGCT